AAGAGCAATGAAGGTGGCATTGATAGCCTTGTGAAGGATTCCTCGGTGGAAGAACTCCTCAAACAAACTCAGGAAGTCTGTCTTGAAGGTGTCCCAGAAAAACTTAAATGGGGCAACTGGGAAGCCATCAAGGCCAAGGGCTTTGTCTTTCCTCAGGTCCTTGATGGCTGTCGTGATCTCTGTTTCAGAGAAAGGGCGTTCCAACCACTGAACCCAATGAGTAGGAAGAGTTTGGAACTGCAAATTGCTCATTCTAGGTCTTGGGACCGATGGGGCGAAGTACAGGTTCTGGAAGAACAAGAGGATGGCTGATTCAATTTTAGGTGCTTGGTCCAAGATCCTATTGTCGACCTTAATTGTGGAGATGGAGTTGTCTCTTCTACAACAATTTGCAATAATGTGAAAAATCCCAGTATTGTGACCCCCTGATCTTAACCAGTTGACCCTAGACCTTTGGAACAAGAACAGTTCTTCCTTTTTAAGGGTGGAGAAGTAGTCCAACTTAGTTTGAGTTCTAAGGTTGGATTCAGAGATAGACAAGGGGCAAGATTCAGAGGTAGACAAGGGGCGGGATTCCTTGGTTTGGTCTAGAACTTGTATAACAGCCAACTGGGTTTGCTTGATCTGGGAGAAATTACCTGGAATAGAACTACTCCAGGTTTTAAGGGAGGCCTTAAGCTTGCAGCCTATAACCGGCCCTACTCGAGACCTGAGAGGAGAAAGAATCCCACCACATGGGAATGAGCGAAGATAGGGAGGATTCTTCTAGCCAGGCTAGTTCAAACCGAAAGGGTTTCGGGCCTCGTGGGACAGCTTGAATGTCCAGGAGAATGAGGCAGTGGTCTAAGGTTTCGGCAGTGCAAAAGTGTGTGAGCCTGAGAATTCCTCTTCCCACGTCGAGGATAACAGGAACCTATCCAATTTAGAGAGAGTCGGTTGGGAAGAGTGATCCGATCAAGTGAATAGCTTTCACTGGAGGCGTACATCCAAAAGTTCATTGCTAGAGATGAAGTCCGAGAAGTCCAACATTCCTTGGGAAATGTTCGAGTTGGAATTTCTTTCGAAGGACCATCTTGTAAGGTTGAAGTCCCCGCCAAGGCACCAAGAGGGGTGTGGGAGGGTGGCTACAAAGTCTAGTTCTGCCCAAAGCTGAGGTCTGAGAGCCAGTGTAAGGGCCTATTAAATATTTCAAAAAAATATTCATGATAGGGATGTACTCTCGATCTAAAGAACCCTACTTAAGTGCTCGGGGGCCTGGATTATTAACCAAGTGGAGACCAGTCCTATATAATTTATATTCATCCCAATGAAGTTGGGATCAAGGTCCCCCACACATTAGGATCGAGAACCCCAGATTTCAAGGTGTATGGGCAGTGGTCCCTACCCTAGGGAGTTTCCTGCTTGTCACAATCCTGCGATCGGCAACCCAATCCCAACCACTATGCCTTAGATCAACCATCCAACTTAAAAGTGCATACAAGATCTTGGGCACTTCAAGGATTCTATAGGCAGTGTTATCCCTCCCAAGCATGGAGTTTTTTCAAAGATAGACAAACTTTAGAGAGGCCTTAATTATGCATGAATGTATTCATGTGAGTTGTCAACCTGGAGTCCTTAGGTAGAGCTAAACTCAGGTTGGGAAAAGGCTTATGACCATATGGACTAGAGTCTAGAATTTTTGCCCATATGGATTTAGCCATGAACAGCATGGCTACATCACTAGCTGCATCTCATTGGCATACTTCTTTATTTTGATTAATGGTAACCCTCGTGGTTTTTCCTGGCCTCTAGGGGCCATGTCAAGGAGAACCACTATCCCCCCTTTCTGTTCGCAACTATGGGTGAGGCCTTTAGTAAATCCATTTCAGAATTGGCTACCCCTAACCATGCTAAAGGCTTCAAACTTCTAGTAGGGGTGCCTTCATTTATCAATTACAATATGCAGACCGCACATTGATTTCTACAATGTCCACCCTCAGCAAGTAGATAATTCGAGGTTGTTCTCATGTTCAAATTTGGTACTTGTTTAAGGTCAACATGGGCAAAAATAAGTTCTTAGAAGTTGGGGTTCAAAGAGAAAACTAAGTTTTAGGGGTGGAATTCGAAGAGACAAGTCAATTGGGATAGCAAAGAGGATTGTTTGTGGTATTTATATGGTATCTATACCTTGCCAAGCAAGTACCATGGTCTCCCATTGTGTTCAGGTAAACTGTGGAAACATCTGGGATTGTCTTAGTTGAAAGTTTTGAGTGCAGATTGTCCTTTCGGAAAGTCTATGTCCTTTCAATAGAAGTTAGAGGGACTCTTACAAAAGCAACCAGCTCCATTTTCCAGTTCTCTCTTTCTAGAATGCATGCCAATGATCAATGGGCTCAAATGCTTTATGAGATCCTTTTTAGGTCCAAGGGCCAAATGGAGAATAGAGGTTTCACCTAGTCAAAGACATCAGGGGGTTTGGGTGTTCGATGTTCAGAGGATTTGAATAAAGTTTTGCTAGGTAAATGGTTGTGGCACTTTCCAACCCATTACAATCACCTTAGTACTTCAACAGTTGATGGTCTTGATGATTCCATCTGCATGCCAAGAGGATCAGTCGGCAGTAGGGATTTGGCCGCATGGAAAGGCATCTTAACAGCAATCCCAGCCTTTTTCCGCTTCTCAGCTAAAACTGGAAATCGTATGCGACTGCTGAGAGGCCCCTGGTTGGGAGAGTCTAGGTTGGATCTTAGATTTCCAAGTCTATCTATGGTGGCTTCCAGAACTGTTCTAACTTCGAGGCCTCTGAAATCTTGGGGGGTCATACTGTTTAGGGTCTAAGATTTAGATGAAACCTTGCTGAGGATGAAACTGCAGATCTTGAGAATCTCCTCTCAATCTTCAATACCATTTTCAATCCCTGGTTGTGGCAGGCATTGGTTGATGTGAGCACCAGCCCCCTCAGGGCCCTTTACAGTGTCATCTTTCCATTAAGTTTTTCATCCTTCGAGACAATCTCAGTCCGCTGCTAGCACCACCTGGCTCGTCCCTGCAACCACGATGGTTCAAGTGTTCAATTGGCTGTTGATAAGGCCCTTAGGTTAACAAGCTACAAATGAGAGGGCTCCAGCCGGCCAACAGTTGTGTCATTTTGTAGAGGTGTGAGGAATAAGTTGCCCATATATACATTCAACAACTGCTGGCTGGGTGACAGTGGTGCTTTTACTCAAATATGTTTGGTAGCACATGTGTCACACAAGAAACCACCCAATAGTTGTTCATAGCCTTCTCCTTCCCTCTACCGTCAGCAGGAGTATTTCTGTCACGAATTGCCACTATAGCCTTGGTATGGGGTATGGGGGGTTTGATTGCAGAGAAATAGACGAACTTTAAAGAGGTATAGAGGCACAGCCTGAGGCAATCAAGGCCAGTATTGAGGTCATGGTCATTGAGTAGGCTAGAATGCACAAGGAATTCAGCGGTTGCCCAACAAGGGGTTTCCTTCTAAACTGGGAATCAGTAGGTTACCCCCAAGGTCTATCCCTAGATCCTCCCACCAGGTTGCTCTAGCGTCTGGTACCGCCAAATTCAACTTTGGTAACCCATGCAGGGTAGGTAGGGATTGGCGGCATCGTTTCAGACACATCGGCTGCCATTCTTCTCTCCTTTAGAGTCCTATAGATGTTGCTACATCAAATATGGCTGAAGCTATGGTCTCCTTGAGGGTCTCAAAATTATTGACCGAAGATGGGGTTCCACCCTGTCAGTCGAAGGGCAATCCAAGAATGTCATAAATTGGACTAATAGGTTATCTCCCTGCTCTCGAAGACTAAAACCTACATTTGAACATATATTTGATTTGAGTGCTTCCCTACAAGATTCATTTCATAGTACATGGCAAGAAGCAAATAATATAGCAAGCGCCCTTGCCAACAGGGCCCCACAACATTTGTTGCATTCACCCGTCAATTTTGGTCATGAAACTCCTGTTTTCTCCATTACATAGATATCACGTTTCTCTGGTTGTTTTTGGACCTACGTTGGCCTTCTATATGTTGGGCATCTTTATATATTAATACAATATTGTCGACTACTTATCTATCTATTCTATCGATCAAACTATCTATGTATGTGTTTGTGTGTATACATACATATATAGGAAAAAGTTTATATAAGGATGAGGCCCTAAACAATCAAATTAAGGCGCACCTCAAAAATTCACTAGAAGAAGTTGTTTCAATGCCCAAAAATCCTCAAATTGATCACCTTGACATCAAGATGTATGGACATGAGAAAAAATGGATTTCAGCCCTTAGAAATAGTGTACCTTCTGATGCATTTTTAGATCATCAGTTTTTAAGATTTTCAAGTGTTTATAGATCTGCTCAATCTACACTATTTTTAAGTTTTGGATTTTATAAATAGAGATGAAAATAAATTTTCAAGCCATCCCAAAGATTTCCAGTATTGAAACAGCATCTTTCAATACAATTTGAAGGTGCACCTTACTTTGATCATTTAGGGCCTCAGCCTTATATAAACTATATATATATATATAGTATGTGTGTGTGTGTGTGTGTGTGTGTGTGTATGGAAAAAGTGTATATAAGTGCGAGGCTCTAAACAATAAAATTAAGGCACACCTCAAATATTTCACTAGAAGAGGTTGTTTTGATGCCCAAAAATCCTCAAATTGATCATCTCGACCTCAAGATGCATGGACATGAGAAAAAATAGGTTACAATGTTTGGAAATAGTGCATCTTTTAATGCAATTTGGATTGTCAATTTTCAAGATTTTCAAGTGTTCATGGATCTGCTCAATCTACACTATTTTTGAAACTTAAAATTTTATAATTAGAGATGAAAATAAATTTTCAGGCCATCACAAAGATTTCCAGTACTGAAACAACAACTTTCGACACTATTTGAAAGTGCGCCCTACTTTGATTGTTTTTTTTTTTATAATATATACATATATAACTAAAAAAACATTACATGAATAGATAGAAACATCAAACTAACCTGCTCACACTCCTTTCGAGTGAAACAATAAACTATTCCAGATTCCTTATTTGGATAAGAGCCACATATAAAATCTGTGACTTCATCAATGACCACCTTTGCAGCAGATGACTTTTCTCTTACCTGAAACAGAGAAATTCCTAAATCTAAAGAATAGTACGAGATTAGAACGACAAAAATTAAAAGGCCTTTGTAATACCTCTTGTGAACCATTCGTACAAACAAAAGTTACTACTGAAAGAAAAAAGGAGTAGGAGCTGCTCTAACCCAGGTTTCCAACATAACAGCATATACCTCATAGAAAAGATTGGGTCTGTTCACTGTGCTCACAAACTTAACACATTTTGAAATATGCAACATCTCCATTAGGTCAGTTTGGACCCTTTGAGTGGCAGTTGCCTAGATTAAAAGTCACAGATCAATAAGTGGAGCAGTCATTATTCATGAAAGTTCTAATGAGACTCTGAATGAAGGGCCACTAAGTAAAACAATTACAAGAAACTAGGACTTACAGTCAGAGCAATCATTGGAACACTGGGAAACTGAGTCTTTAAAATGCTGAGATTCTTGTAATCAGGACGGAAGTCATGCCCCCATTGACTGCAGCAATGTGCCTCCTGCATAGTTACATTAATATTTCATGGTTAAGTATTGAAGATAGAGTAAGCACAGCACATCAAATATTATCTGGTAGGGTTGTTTTGTTGTCATGGTGGTGCTGGTGGCTGTGGTTGTTATAAGTACTGCCACTACTATCTTGTCAAAAAAAATTGTTGAGTGTTGTTGTCATTGCTAATGTTGTTGTTATTATTGCAGTTATCCCAGGGATGATTTAAATAGAACGGGAAATCTTCCCCTAAAGCTTTTTTTTTTTTGACTGATTCCCCAAAACCAGTTTCAAAAGGTAGGAAAACATAACATGTCACAGAACTTGTACTTACATCAATTGAGATAAGAGAAAGCCGGCCAGCATGATGGCATTTTTCAAGCTTAGACATGAACCTTTTGCTCTTTGATATCTTCTCTGGTGTAACATACAAAATCTTCAGCTCTCCCTCACCTTTCTCAAGGGCCTTATATATCATCTTTTCATCTTCTTTGCTAGTATTTGAAGTAAGCATGCTAGCTGGGATGCCTAAAGCAGACAGCCCCATTACCTATAGCAATATTGTTGTTGTAAGTATATTCATACTACTTTTGTGAGTGCACAAAAATTGGAATGCAAAAGAAGTAAAAGGAAGATGTAAGACTACCTGATCTTGAATAAGGGATAGCAGAGGACTGACTACAAGTGCCACTCCATTGCGAAGAATGGCTGGAAGTTGGTAACAAAGGCTTTTACCACCCCCTGCAGCCATTATCACAAGAACGTCTCTCCCACTCATGACTGCATTAATAATCTATTTACAAGAGCAAACATGTTGCATAAGAATGCAGCTCTTACATCACTGAAAGGAAATAGAATTTGACCAGAACAATCTAATTAATTAACCATTGAACTTCCATGGATCATCTTGAAGGCCTTAAAACAACACAAAAAAGAAAAACAATTGGCTGAATTAAATGAAAAGGTGAAATAGAGATGAATGACCACATTGAAAACTCAACTATCTCCACAGAAAACCACAATCTGATATATTAAAAATCCTCGGGCAATCTAATGTAAATTTATGATACTAGTCACACAACACATCCTTGAAGAAATAAGGAAACACCACGTACTACTTTCACAGTAAAAAAGTCATATAGTAATAGTCACTTATTTGAGCACTCCATAGCTAAAAAAACTCTCCCTTCCACCAAATATCCAATGCTCAATTTACGGGAAGTCCCTACAATGATGCACACGCAAAGCAGGAGTACAATTTCTGAGGTAACTAGGAATACTACTCAGCCTAGATGCAGGCTTGTCATGTGAATGCCTGAGCATGTCTAGAATTTCTCCTATATTACACATGCAAGTTGAACCACGCCGACAAACCCAAAGAGGCTGCTTGCAAAGCATTGTTTAATGGTTATACCGTGCCTCAACCAATGTATGGGCCATTGCCTTGCACCCAAAAAATGTGTAGGCTGGAATAGTGGCACTTGGAAGGTACATTGTGAAAGTGACTTCAAGGAATAGCCTCATAAGGTAGGGTTCCATTAGCATACATACTACCAATGTCCCGCTCAGACATCAAACTAGAGCAGATGAGATATCACGTAGCAAAGCCCTCACCCCCAAGAAATCCACAATACACAATGAGAACAAGTGAAATCAACCTGCCTAAGTAAGGTGCTGATCCACTTTGATGTAATGTTTATGAACGCTGAACTTCATGTGCCCCAATTCTTTTTAAAAAGTACAATGAAACTAGGGAGTACTTAAAGGTTCTAAAACCCGGCAATTGTGAATTCATCGAAGATGGCAAACAATGACAGCTAAAAGCCTAATAAAATCAAATTTGTAACTAAAGCAAGCATGTCATCGTAGCTGTATCGACCATGACTGAGCAAAAGTATCATCAACAGATGAAAGCTTTAGTGTAAGTAAAGTGGCAGTAGGACACTACAAATATGTGTTATATTCATTGTTTTAACCTCAAATTCAGTTATAAGTCTAGGCCCATATTAATTAGTCAAACATATACGATTAAAACTCCTATCTACTGAATAGATCATATAGCTTAATGTTTCTATGCATTCCAAATATGCCATTAGAAGCATCCGTTCAGACATCAACTTTTGCACATATCTGAGAGGCGATAATGATGTCACCCTGTGTACCTATTTTTTCACATAAAGATACAAACATTCATGTGTGTGTATGTGTCTCACAAGATAAAGACAAAAAAAAGTACATACATAATATCAATACCAAAGCGAGAGAAAAGATAATGAAGTAATGCATCAAACCATGCATAGATACATCCTCCATGCTCTCTCTCCATGATTCAGATTTCAAAAGTAGAACATCAAGAGAAAAACTTGCCTCGCATTGGTTTACACGGTACTCAGATATCCCAAATACATTGAAACGGATATCATCCACTTCCTTGTCCCACTCAAATGAACCTGCCCAATTTTCCACAGGGGCTGATACCTTGGCATTGGAAGGGCTCTCAGAACCTTGACATGCTTCTAATAATGCCTTCAACTCTGATTGTTTCTCATACAACTTGTCCTGCCGACTAATCAGCACCCTTATTTGGCCTGAACCAAGATAGCCCATTTATTTCAATTGTTAAAAAGTGTACCCAATAACAATTGGATGATATCGAAACAAAAAATAATTAAAAAAAATAAAAAATCATTTTGAAGGTTTTCATATATTGCAATAAAAGAGTTAAAGAAATGATTTATCAAAAAAATTATTGTTGAACACATTGTGGTTGTCACCGCCCTAGCATGATTCTCATTAAATTAAAAAGTCCTAATTTACATACAATAGTTATTATAACCAACTAAATAAATTAAGAATCAGCTCAATAACAATTAATACTCATCACAAAACCAGTTTAACAAATAAAAAACTTACATTGTGTTTATTCATTTATTGAGCTCAGAACTGCCATAGTATGAATCTTACCAAACAAAGGTCAATCTGTACATATAAAATCAAATGCAACCAACGACATACTTATGTGACCAGCTTCATGTAAACGTAACATTAGTGATGACAATAAATACGCGTACATCCAATTCCAAAAATGAAACTATGATCTTATCATTTTCATAGAAAGATTGAAATAACAGAACAGAAAAAAAAAAATCAAATAGAACTGTAAACTATGGTTCCAACACTGGGTTGAGTGGCTCAAATGGGTTTCTTATTTGTGCGAAAAATAGTGAGTTCAGATAAGATTGTCAAATAAATCAAAAAAAAAACGTCAGTTACATTTTGTGTCGTTTAATAAATAAATGATCATTATGAATCTACGTGCTAAATTTGGATAAATTTTTTTGCACGGTGAGGTTTCATGAGCTTACCTTGAACCTCCTCTAACTCTTCCTCTACATTTAGCAGCTCTGCTAAGATGTCGTCTTCCATTTCTTATAGTTCAAAGCAACAAGGGCTCCAACTCCAGTTGTTGCCGCCACTTAAAAAGGCCGAAAGGACGATTTGGTCATTCAAACAAAGGCACGTTAAGCGTTTCAAAAGGGAGAATATACACTGATCCATGTGATCATGGGAGTTATGATCATGAGTGTTATCAGTGTTCATCCATTGTTAGACAGTGATAAAGAATTGAGACCTGCCAGTTGGGTGATTCCTTGCTCAAGGGGATCCAATGCTTTTCACCGTCCATCTCTCGTGATTCGACGGTGATAACTATGATGACTCAAAAATATTTTTCTTTTCACAAAAAAATGGAAAAATTCGATATAAGGTTGCAATGAAGTTAGGTGCACCTCGAAAATAATAATTCAAGTCTAAGGGATTGTTTATAAAGTGATTATTTATCTTTTATACATGGAGGTAATAATCATTATCACTCATTAAATGTTAAATTAGATGGTTTGGGGTGAATCACGAAGTCTAAAAAATTTTGTATTACGAACTTTGCATCTATTCAATAACAGTCTTACTACCACTCATTTTGAAATTTAAAATGAATTAACGATTGTGACCTCTGTGTACAAAAGTTTTTGAAATTTAAAGGATAATAATGATTATGACATTCATGTACAAAAGATAAATGGTATATTTATATATAATCCAATATAAAAAATGGTTCATCTTGTAATAAGTTATTTAGACTGTTTATTTTTAATATTTTAAAGTGTTAATTGATATGCTCAATCTATATCTATTTTAAATTTGATAACTAGGGATAAAAGTAGATTTTCAACCTATCATAACATTGAACAAAATTTAGAGGTGCACTTAGTTTTACAGTATAAAGAGGCAACATTGTACAAACCTCCAATGAAAAAAAATGAGGAAAAATATGCAAAGAGACCATTATATTTTATTATAAGGATGTTACAAATACTATTGTTCGTTGTATTTCAAATGGGGTAGTTGTGATAGTGTCATTGATTAGGCTAAAAGTTACAAAAAAAAAAAAAAAAAATCAAACTTTGTGATATATATCAACCATTTACTTTGATATATAATGACTAGGCGCAATTATGATCGCCTTGTAATAAATATACATGTTCTCATAATATACAATCTCATAAAATCAAGCATCAACGTAATAAAAATGGGGTGTTGTCTGTATAGGGTTGACCTAACTAATCTACTAATGTGCACCTTCAAATAGAGCCGAAATATGTTGTTTAGTATCAAAAACCTTTGTGATGGTTTGAGAATTTATTTTCATATCTAATTTAAATTTTAAAGATTAAAAAATAGTATAAATCGAGCATATTTATAAACGCTTGAAACTCTTGAAAATTTATGACCTAGATAATATATTGTAAGACGCACTATTTTCAAGATTTGAAATCTATTTTTTTGTCATATCCATGTATCTCAAGGATGAGATGATTGAGTCGAGATTTATTCGGCATATAAAGAACCACTTCTAGTAATTTTTATGAGATGCGATTTAGTTTAACTGTTTAGAACCTCACCCTTATATAAATACCCTTTTAGTAAAGGAAAAAGTTTATATGGATCCCAGGCTCTAAACAGTCAAACTTGGGCCTACCTCAAAAATTTCACTGGAAGAGGTTGTTTTGATACTCAATTTCGAATTGATCATCTTGACATCAAAATGCACGGACATGAGAAAAAAATGGATTTAAAATTTGGAAACAGTGTATTTTGTAATGCATTTTTGGACCGTCAATTTTCAAGGTTTTCATGCTTTTATAAATCTGTCGATTTACACTATTTTTTAAGCTTTGAATTTTATAAATAAAGATGAAAATATATTTTAAGGCTATCACAAAGATTTTCAGTATTGAAACCACATTTATTGAAACTATTTCAAGGTAGGCTCTAATTTGATTGTTTAGAGCTTAGGCTCTATAAAACCCACACCCTTTAGTAAAATAAAATAAAGGATTGTATGCAACAAGACCGCTTGTTTTTGTTACAATAAATCGTCATTGAAACACACATGGCCTATTTTATTTACTTTGTAAAGAGCCAAGCGCCTAGGCTCTAAATAATCAAATTAGAGCTTACTTTCAAATAGTATCAAGAAATGAACTTTTAATATTAGAAATCTTTGTGATAGCCTTAAAATATATTTTTATAATTATTTATAAATTTTAAAGCTTTAAAAATAGTATAGACCGACAAATCTATGACAACTTAAAACTTTTGAAAATTGACGATCCAAAAATATGTTACAAAATACAATGTTTTCAATACTTGAAATCCATTTGTTTCTTATGTCCATGCATCTTGATATCGAGATGGTCAATTTGAAGATATTTGAGCATCAAAACAACCACTTCTAATGAAAATTTTGAGGTAGGCTGTAATTTGATTGTTTAAAGCGTCGGCTGTATATAAACGTTTACCCTTTGTAAAACTTCGTGGGAAAGCTTTCTTCCCCTAGTTCCTTCCCTCTTCTCCGGACCCAAGTTACGTTTGGTTCGTATGAAAATTTGTATCATGGAACAGTTTTCATGTGAAGAAAAAGGCAAACATTTGGGAAGGGCCTCTCGCCACTCTCTCGGACTCGGTGGTTTAACTGCTCTCTCACAATGGCTCCCTCGCCACTCTCTCTCAACCCCCTGCGTCCTCTCTCACACACCTCATTTCCAAGCCTCATACATCTTCTTAAGATATCCATTTGCAAGCTTTTTTCTTCTTCAACACGGTAATGTTTTTTTTTGGCTGGTGTTCTTTTATTTTTTTGCTGTTTTTTGTTTATCATAGTGTAAAGATTCTTCACCAAACTAGTTAGGATTTCACTCATACAAAATATTTCATCTTCTTCAAGAAGGGTATGGGTTTTATTTTTGTGATTTTTCTGGTTTTTCCCTCTATAAGGTGCTGAGTTGTTTAATTACCACTGCAATTAGTTTTTTAATTACATAAATAAGTATGCTACAGGGACAATATAGTGTACTTTGATTCATATAGTAAAATGTTTGGAAGAAGCAACACAGAGAAGAGTTGCATCACTGAAGAATTGCATGTCTACTATGATTTTCCATGGAACCTTCATTGCTGTGTGTGGGAATTCCACCAAACTAGAGAATCTCTATTCTAGAGTTTACTTGTGATCAATGTTGGAAAAGTCATCCGCCGATTTCCTAGGCGGACTTTTGGATAAAACAGCCTAGGCATTTTTAAAGCGGATACTATTAAGAGGCCAGGCACCTGACTAGGCGGTCGAAAAGGCGGGAAATGGCAGCCACCTAGGCGGCTTGCATGAGTTTGGCATAAAAAATTTCTAGGAGTGGGCAACAAAATGTCATTTACCCCCTTAAAAGGAGGGATAAGGGTTTGGGGGCCATTCTTGCTCCCAAAAACAATTTTAGTGAACTTTAGAGTGAGAAATAACTCGAAAAACTGGATTTGAAGATTTGTGAGTGATCAATTTTTTTTTCAAAAGCCTCGAATGGTCACGATATTAAAGGATATTCATCCCCAATCTTTTTTAGGCTTATAGGGGTTGAAAAACGAGGAGATTTGGTGTCTCAAACATTTCGGTTTTGCCCGAAATCGAATCCACTTCAAAAAGGTTGGTATATTTCAATAGTTATCATTATTTTTTGTATTGTTTTTCTCTTAATGTCTAATATCAGTAAGCTACTAATCTCTCTCTCTCTCTTCTCCTACAAGGAAAAGCATAATCTGTACTTCCAAAATTTCAGCAAATTCCTCCTTGTCAGAGGTAATAATCAAGAAATGCTTTTAAGGTTTTGTGCGCCTATGCATTTTGCCTTGGTTTCGAACTTTATAGGGTTTTGTTATAGTTGCATGCATTAGTTCTGGTTAAATGGCTACCCATGGTTTAATTCATGAACTCGAAATTTACTCTGTTTTTCGCTGGTTTTCTTCTTTGTTCTCTCTGTTTATTTGGATGGACATCAATATTACTTGGTGTCACACACATTGATTCTGTATGTTAGGTTAGCTTGTGTATAATGAAATCAGGATTTATCAGTACAAGAGTATTTGTGTGGGTTTCTCTTACCATGGCTGTGATATTTTGGTAAAAAATTTGATAAGGCGTATATCTAAGAGAGAATTTTGCTTAAGCCATGGACAAGAGTAACATATGTGATCTTTAATGTAGTGGAGCTTGTAGTGTTTACTGAAACATTTTTTTGTTGGACTGTGGGGACCCCAATTTTTTTTATGCTTAATTAATAAATCAAGACCCCATTTTAATTAAAAAACTATTTCAAATTTTAAGTTTTATAGATAAACTATCATATTTTAGAGAGAGAAAGTACATGTAAAAGTTTAGAGAGAAAAACTATCTCAATTTTTAGATATAGAAACTATTTCAAAACTTTTAGAGAGAGAAACAATCTCATATTTTAATTCTTAGAGAGAGAAACTATATCAAATTTTAAAGAGCGTAACTAAAAGGTTTTAGAAATAGAAAATATCTCAATAATTTTTAGAGAGAAAAACTATATCAAATCTTAAGTTATAGAGAGAGAAAGCATTATTAAAATTGTAGCGAGAGAAAGTACTCTTAAACTATTAGAGATAAACTATTATAAATTTTAGAAAGAGAAATGGTCAAAAACATTTTTAGAAAAAGAAATATCTCAATTTTTAGATAGAAAAACTATCTCGAATTTTGAGATTTAGAGAGAAATTATCTCAAATATTGAATTTTAGAAAGAGAAAATCTATTAAAATTTTAGAAATAGAAATTATATCAAATTTTAAAGAGAGAAACTACCTAAAAAATTTTAGATAGAGAAACTATCTCAAAATTATTGGAGAGAGAAACTATTGTAAAATTTATGTTTTAGAGAGAAAAAGTATGTTAAAATTTGTGAGAAATAAATTATATCAAATTTTAAATAGAGAATGTACATGAACTTTTTAGAGAGAGAAACTATTTAAAAAAAATTAAAGAAAGATTAACTATCTCAAAATTTAAGTTTTAGAGAGAGAAAGTGTCTCAAATTTTGAACTTCAGAGAGAGAAAGTATGTCAAAGTTTAGAGAGACACTATATCAAATTTTAAAGAGAAAAACTATTTCAAAATTTTAGAGAGATAAGCTATCTCAAACTTGAAGTTATAGACAGATAAAGCATCTTAAAATTTAAGAGAGTAAATATATCAAATTTTAGAGAGAGAAAGTACATAAAAGTTTTTTAAAAAAACAAACTATCGCAAAATTTTGAGAGAAATTATCTCAAATTTTAGCTTTTAGAAAGAGAAAGTATCTTAAATTTGAGAAGAAAACTATATCATATTTTAGAGAGAGAAACTACTTAAAAATGTTTAGAGAGAGAAACTGTCTCAAAATTATTGAAGAGGGAAGCTGTATCAAGTTTTAAGCTTAAAAGATAGAGTATCTTAAAATTTTAGACAAAGAAACTATATTAAATTTTAGAGAGACTAAAGCATCTTAAAATTGTAGAGAAAAATTATCTAAAAAATTTTAGATAGGCAATTTTAAATTTTGGATAGAAAGTATATTAAATTTTAAAGAGGCAAACAATATCAAATTTTAGAGAGAGAAACTATCTTAAAAAAATTTATAGATACACTATCCCAAATTTTGAGTTTCAGATAGAGAAAGTATAAACAAATTTTAGAGAGAGAAATTGTATCAAGTTTTATTACCAAACAATGGACATAGAGCCACTTCAACGAATCCATGAATTTTGTATAGTTTATCGAAATAAGAGATTTGAGGAGCCCATGACAAAAATCATTGACATTGAAATTTCTTGGATTTCAAATATTTAAGATTTCTAATTTCTTCCTATCCAAAAAAGTCCTAAATGGATACTTGCACCGCCTACTTTACGAGAACGGGGGTTGTGGTGAAGTGCGCAGAGTATGCCATCTATACACACCCAAAAATAACAAAATTTATGCAACTTTGTCCCAAAATGGGGAAGTTTCGTACCTTCGTATCTTGCAAGCAGCAAAATAGATTGAGTTGAAATTTTGATGTAATGTGCCCTCGCTGAGACCTTCCTTTTGGTATATACCAGGCGCATAATGGCCTCTTGGATGGGGAGAAATCCTAGAAAAAAAGTCGTAGGTTTTCATGTTCATGCAAGTTGCAATCCATGAGACCTCTTCTTGGTTTTTCCGCAATAACTATTCATGCATCCAACATCTCGGGCGAGGATCAGGTGGCTTTCAATCGTGACTCGGTAAGCGTCACAATGTATAAGAAAAGTCATGATGGCGGGCCGAATCAAAGGAAAAGCCGATTTGTATATGACATTTTGAACATCGCCGATTTTCAGATTTTCAAGGAATTCAAGGTGCATTTCTGTGTTAATATGGGGTCTCGATTCTCAGGACAAAATGTTTGTGGGATCGAGCTCTATTATTTTCCCACCATGTATCATAAAAACTCTGGACAAAATCCATTTCAAAATGAATAATATATATGTGGTAAAGGTGTATGATCCAAGAAACCATAAATTACTCAAACTCACTCAAATCTTTTGAGTCTTTCTAATTAATTTTTTTGCGAGATGATTGTAGTAGACAATCTATATTTCTACGGCAAAGTATCTCTTATTTCAGTACCAAAACGTCAAGTTCAAGTTCTCGTACCATGGGTATGGAATGAAAAGCCTTAGGGAAGGATGAGATAGGGAATTTGGAACTTTTTGAACTCCAAATTTAGCCGAAAATCATTTTTAATTTTTGACCCATCTTTTTATTTATGTTTGTAACAAGGTCTATAAAAGAACTTAAACCCATAATTTATAAGAATTGGAGTTCATTGATTGAAATTAGGAGTTTATTTTTCATTGGACTCATTTATGAAAATTAATGTACCATGGATAAGGTCAGGGAATTCTAGGGAGAAACGAGAGATTTTTTTAGAAAGAGAAACCCCGACCTTAGAGTTAGACAGAGAAACTCCCCTCTCTGTGTTTGATTTGAAGTTACATACATATGTTTTCATGGCACACGTACGTCCACACAGAGATAGGCCCGAACAGGGAGCTGTCGGAAAATGCTAGAAATTGTGGGGTTGAAATCAGAAAAGTGATTGGAATTTCTCGTCTTCTGGGGGAAAACGCTAGTTGTTCAGTGAGCGATACTCTTCCTACCCATTCATCAATAATGAGTTTCTCTCTCTCATCTACCACAAGGATCATGAATTTCTATTCTTAACCAGCTGCCAAGAAGAGTTTGTCACTCTGAGCTTACAAAAATATCTAGTTAGGTTAGGGTAATTTATAAAGGAAAAAGTTTGTATAGACCTAGGCTCTAAACAATCAAATTAGAGCCTACCAAAAAGGTTGTTTTGATGCTCAAATATCTTCAAGTTTTGAAAATAGTGCGTTTTGTAGCACATTTTTATACCGTCAATTTTAAGTTACTCAAGTTTTCAATCATAGATATGTTGGATCAACATTATTTTTTAAAGTTTAAATTTTATAATTAAAGATGAAAATATATTTTAAGGCTAGTCAAAGAATTTTCACTATTGAAACTACATTTTTCAACATTATTTGAAGGTGGGCTCTAATTTAATTGTCTCGGCTCTATGCAAACTGCACCCATTTATAAATGGAAAAAGTTTATATAGAGCCGACGCTCTAAATAATCAAATTTGAGCTTAGTTCAAAAATTTCGCTAGAAGAGGTTGTTTTGATACCCAAATATCTTCAAATCAGTCATCTCAACATCAAAATGCATGAGCATGAAAAAAAAATGGATTTCAAGTTTTGAAAATAGTGTATTTTGTAACAATTTTCAAGATTTTCAAGTTTTCATATATCTATCGATCTATACTATTTTTTAAGCTTTAAACTTATTAATAAATATGGAAATATATTTTAACGCTATCACAAAGATTTCCAATATCAAAACCACATTTCTCAATAGTATTTGAAGGTAGGCTCTTGTTTAGAGCCTAGGCTCTATGCAAACCGCACTTTTTATAACTATGGACTATTTAAAAAGGGAAAGTATATAATGTGATCATTTACCTTTGGTACGAAGTGGTCACTATTAATCTTAACCATTAGATATGAAATTCGATGGCCTAAGTTATTTTTTTATTGATCAATTTCAAAGTTCAAAAAAATATTTTTTGAACTTTGTAGTATACCCAAGCTATCAGATTTCACATCGGATGGTTGTAAATAATTGTGACCTTCCTATACCAAAAAGTAAATGGTCTTATTGAATACAATCCCATTTAAAATATTTATCTCCACCTTCAATATTTCAAAAAAAATTTAAAACACATCAAATATGTTAGATCCCAAATCATACTAAATCTATTGAAATCATCTAAAACAATACTTTCTAAGCAATACATTTACCATTACTATTTTTTAGATTTTTTAACATTTTTTTATTCTTCTAGGGGGCTTCTGTGGGGGGCAAGTTGGGCCTCACCATTAGGTCGAGGTTGAGATACTAGGGTGAGTCCAAGTGGTCTCGACCGAGTCCCCAGAACACTGCTGTAGAAGGGGAAAACAAGAAACAAAAAGGATGGAGAGGGTTTAGAGAGTAAAGAACTACAGAGAAAAGCTCCGCTATCAAGATGGTGATAAAAGACTCGGCTATCAAGATTTCTGGAAAAATCCTTTCCACTGTTCAACAGATTTTTTGTTCATTCTCGTTCCTATTGATGCCTTCAACTACCATCATGATATCTTCTTCTAGTGCATTTTGTTTGAGTCATTTTTTCTTATTGCAGTTGAGAACCACATATATTGATTTAAATTACATTTGGGTAAATGAACAGAGTGTGTAAAAATCTGTTTACTGGTTTCATATTTCATTTTTTCTTTATTTTGCGAGATAGGGAATTTGTGTAGGGTTTCTTCTTGATGGATTTGTTCCACTCTTCTTTCAGCGATCTTCTCTTTCAAAGAAGTTGCAAGTCTTCATTTATGATTTGTAATGTTTGTTGGATTATACAAAGCTCTAGGCTGTTTCTGTAAGCATGAACTTGGAACCATTTTCTGTGATTTGCAAATTTCAGTCGCATTTCAGCGATCTTCTCTTTCAAAAAAGTTACATGTCTTTATTTGTGATTTGTAAGGTCTCTTGGATTATACAAAACTATAGGTTGTTTTTGTAAGCATGAAATTGGAACCATTTATTGTGGTTTGCAATTTTTCAGTCGCATTGTTTGTGACCATTGACTGTTTTGTGAACATATCAAGTGGTTTTCACGTCTTCTTTTTTTCCCCCCGAAAAATCACAGAATCCACCCAGATATACCATTGTCTGTGAATTAAAATTCTCTTGCATTCATTACCCTAATTTTTTATATTTTTTTTCACTCCACCGCCGAGGCTCTTTTAGTATAATTTGTGATGAAAATGCCCTTTTCAAACGAAATTATAAAATCAATTGGAAAGTGCTATCTCTTTAACCTCCATCTCTCTCTCTTCCTCTTTCTCCCCCCTCTCATGCTCTTTTCGTCATCCTCTTTGTCTTTCTCATCCATAGATTCAAAGGGAGAAGAGGAAGAACTCACAGAAAAGAGAGAAACGGAATCGAAGGGAAGAGTTTAGAAGTTTTTCAAAGGGATTATTTACCAGCGACCATAGCTCCCTCTCATCGAACCCTACTTTCTTCCCCTGCTGCTCTTGCAAGAAACAAACGAGACCACCTCGTTGCTCTTTGCAATACAGCCATGTTACTCTCTCTCTACAAATCTCCTACCCTTGTCTAACCGTCACTCTACTTCTTCGCCTCAAGCTACCTCTGCAATGGAAGCTACGACCATGGCGAAATTCATTCTAACACTCATTACCCATCTTCATCTACACATCGCAGGATTCCACAAGGTCTCATTCCACTGATTTCATTTAGAAAAATCGCTTAAAGATGAGTATTTGCTATCAGTATCAAGTGTTCGAACCAGATGCGAAACATTGCTGTGAATTCAATCCCAGATGGAGCTGTAGCCGTTGAATAAGAGATACTCACCGGTTTTTCCTCTTTAGTTCTTACTATTTCAATGATACATTGAGATTTCAAATTCTTTTATTATGTTTTGGGGCTTTTGGAGGGAAAGGATTTGGGATGGGAGAGGGGAGGTGGTGGTGTAGATTAATGGCAGCAACTTTGGGCGGTGGAGACTTGAAGGGTACATCGCAAGACATTACAGAGAGAGATGGAGATTTGAGAGACAGAGAGAGATGGAGATTTGCCTTGAGGGATGAAATTTCAAATTGGTTTCCTAATTTCTTTTGAGAAGGATATTTCTGTCTTCAATTATACTGAAAAGTGCCTTAGGGGGATACTGAAAACAAAAAGTGTTTTGGGGTAATGAGGGCATCTAGGGGGATTCCGTAATGTTCCCTTTTTCCCCCTTTTCTCATTGCATGCATGCAAGTGGGTTTGTGTTTGTCATATATGCATGCATTCATTTGGATAGTAATATATGCATACACGGATTCAATGTGTAGGTGCAGTTTTTGATATGGATATATCTGTAAACACAATACATGCATGCCTACAGGCCTACACTCGTGTACCTATTGAAAATAATTTACTGTATCGAGGATTTGAAATATGATTGGTTATCTTCTGCCTCCTTGCTACCATGAATGCATTTAAGCTCTGAAAATAGAGTCTTTTCACGACATCACCCTATGTAGATTGTATGGGTAGATTGTTGTTTTAAAGATACAATCAGTTATTATGGATACCTTTTTTATATTGGTTTCTTGGCTTGCATCATTGTTGCCTATCTCTTGATTAATTTGTTTGAGATTCACTTCAACCTTGTGTTCAGTTTAAGGACATAAGCATTTGTTTGTCATATGTATTTTTTTTACCCAGTTGTTATCATGTTCTGTAGTCTCAAGCTGTTCAATTTATGTTGAACAGCTTGAGACTTCTGTAATCTACAGTTCTGATAATTATTGTATTGATATTGGCAATTTTGATTGATATAGGTCGCCTTGAATCTAGAGTGCACTCAAATAGTGGGTAACCAATTCAATTGTCTTACCTGACGCTTGCAATACCTAGCTGTCCAGATATTCATATAATTTAAAATGAAAATGTAAGTACCAATATGCTTCAGAATTTGGCCATGAACACCTCCTTTTGAGAATGTTGGCCATGAACACCTTTTTATGCATTATATTTTTCTTTGAGCATAATGAAAACAGTTGTATTTGTACATGATGTATGCGCATATTCATTGTTCTTTGTTGTGTTTTTCTTTTATGCATTAGTTGATGCTATTGGACTCTTGTTGAATTCACAATGTTCATGTGGTAGTTTTTAAGAAAAGCATTGATGATTATTTCACCATGAATAAAATATATTGTTTGCTTTTATTTTGAGAGTTTGTTTATTTTTCTCCATGATGGGAGTTCTGTTCATTAGCCAATATTTCTGGATTTCCATTCCGACCACCATGGATGTGAGTTCTTTAACTCATCTCCAAAGTGATCTGTCATGAAACTGTGACCAACTCAAATGATCTTCTCTTAGGTTTGAATTTGTCTCAATTATTTCATTTTACACATCTGTGTAAGTTTGATCCCATTGGCTTAGGACCATCATGAGGTAGGCTCTAAAACAAGCGGTGGTACATTGTATTTATATCTTGGTTGCATACGAAGTGGGGAACTGGGGAGGACTTGATAAACTTCATTCAAATTAGTTTGGATTCTGGCTTAATTTCAGGATTTGTTTCATTTTTGGAGGTCAAGTATTCAATTTCACAATATCAATGTTCCTTTAGATTAGATTTATCCTTAGATGTACTAATCTGGTTCTAGGCAATCACCTATTCTATACACTGTACTCAACAGTTTGGATTAGCTCTTAACCACTCAAAATTCTACTTATTTCTCTTTATTTTAAATGATGATGACCTGCTTATTCCTTTAATTTCATGTGTGGAAACTCTTGCATTTCCTCCTGTAGTTTCTACAAAGCTTCTTCATTGGCCATTGTTTTCTGTCTGCACGTTTTGGGAATGCAATGGATTTTCACTTGTCTGTGATATTATTTTCACTGTTTTTAGTGTGCCTTATGGTCCAGAGGTCTATTAGAGGATTCTAAAACATTTATTCCGCATGTAATTGGTATTTTTTTATAGCTATATTGTTTGAACAAAATCTCATGCATAAGTCTGCTTCCCTGAATAACCGGATTCCTTTTATTAGCATATAAACCTGAACTTACCTCACCCTGATCTTTCGACATGTGGTATGTGAGATTCACATTTCTTCAACATTGAGTTCATGGAGTTTTATGGGAAAAATATCATTGTGTAAATACCTATCCACTTGGGTAACATTAAAAATAGCAGCCATTCCTCTTCAGATGCACACTTATTATTTTAGAGACGAACAGAAAGCACTTGTTATGTTTAGGTGCACAACAATCAGCTATGCTTATGCAAGGTTCTAATAAGTTAGTCATTTATATAACTTGCCATTTTTGAGAGATTGAGTTTCTCTGAGTTTGCTGATAATATCCTTATTATCCTTAACTGATCTATCATTGTAAAGATCTTACAAGTGTTTAGATGCCACTAATTCCTGATAACATTTATTTACAGCTTCAATGCCCAAAAAAGCTGCATGTTTTTGTCGTTATTGATTGCAAGTTATTTGATCATTTATGTGTTAAAATCAAGTTGCAGAATACATAGGCCTAGTTGTGGTTTTCCAATTTCTTTTTTGGGAAATTATCTCCTTGTCCCTATTTTTAACTTCCATATCTTATGAGACCCAAGAATTGAAAATATTACTTGTAAGCAAAATGTCTCAATCTTTTCTATCTTACAACCCCCCTGGACCCCTTTGACCATAATTTTTTGATCCAAACAGACACTAAAACGACACCCTATTCAAACTCCATCTCTCTCTCTTCGCTTCTCAGTGAGTTTACCAGCTAAGGGGTTTAGCTTGAGCTCGAACACGAGCACACCTTCTTATGTGTGAGAGAGAGATGGAGTTTTAGAGAGAGAGATGGAGTTTGAGCTTTAGAGAGAGATGGAGTTTGAGAGAGAGAGATGGAGTTTGAGTTTTAGGAAGAGAGATGGAGTTTTGAGAGAGAGAGAGAGAGAGAGAGACGATGATGTGAGATGGAGTTTGGGTGTTAGAGAGAGATGGAGTTTTGAGAGAGAGAGACGATGATGTGAGAGAGATATGGAGTTTTAGAGAGAGAGATAGAGTCATTTCATAAGTTGTTGAGGTCACTAATACATGGTCAAAAGGGTTTAGGGGGTTGGAAGATAGAAAAGATAGAGTCCTTTTGCTTACAAGTAATATTTTCAATTTTTGGGTCTAATGAGACATAAAAGTTAAAAATAGGGGATAATAGGATATTTTCCTTTCTTTTTTCTCAAAATTATTTTGGAAATTAAATATGCGCTGTTACTTTGCTGTAGAATAGAGGCTAATGCTGGGAATCTTACAAATTTTGAAGTTCTGGACTTCTTGAGATCTAGAGGGGCAACTAAGCTTGGCTCTGCAGCTCCATCGGAGTGCAAGGTATGATATGCATTTACTTTTCTTTCTTATTAAGGGGCTGATATGTTATCTCTCATGAACCATTTGGATGAAAAATGTGCTCTCTTTATGAAGCATGTGACTACAAATCTAACGATGTGTAATAGTATGCTTGCAGGTATTTGATTATCTGGAACAAACTGCTGCTGCAAACCAAAGTAGAGAAAGTATTGCAGAATTTCTGAAAAGATCTGAAAAATATGATCTGACAAAAGCTGAAAAGCTTCAAACTATCAACCTTAGGCCAACAACCCCCGTAGCAGTATATGTGGTATGATTTATTATATTTTTTATGATTACTTTCTTATTGTAATTCAAACGTACTACAAGTAGATGTCATGATATTTACCTTTTCGGTTTCGAATTGGGAGCTGGCATCACTATTCATTTTCCTAATGATTACTTGCTTTCATCCAGCAAATTATTAGTGCTTGATGCTTGCTTACTTGATTTGTTGTATTTGCTGGATGTTGAATACCATTCATGTAATGAACTTTAGAATACAGATCTTTGCACATTCAGCTTTGGAAAGAGGAAATAAAATTTTGAAAAAAAAATCCTTGCTCTTTCTTTGTCGGTGTAGTCACCCTTTACTTGACGGCTGCAATGCCATCCCCCAGCCCCACGAATAAGAAAGAAAAAAAGAAAGATATATTAAAAGCTCACTTGAAATCCAGTTCTTTTCTGTCTTACTCTTCATGAGATGCTGTCTAGAGCCTATTGTGAACCTATGAAGCATATGTTTCTTGTGATTTTTGTGGGGAAAGGGGGGTGGAACATCAGTTAAATTTTATGTATGCTTATCAACAGAAAATATTACATGTGTGTGAGAATGTTTATACACTCTCATAAACTCAGATATACCCACTATATCTATTCTTTTGATCATTATGTCCATTATGTACATTTAATGTGTAAAAAACAATTTTCTTCTTCAGTATATAACCTCCAAAGGTTCGCAAAAGGATTGGTCCCAGAACACACAGCCCTACTTGTCGCTTTTAGTTATGTTTATTGAATGCAACTTTGCCATTGGGGCAATGGCATCCTCATCATTAGTTCCATGCAAGGTTATACAGGATGCAGACTCGATGCACTAGGAGTCTGATGCACTTGCTCTTCAATGCAGTCCTGACATTTTGACGCAGTCAACAAATTGAATTTAAAAAAAAAACATATAAAAAAATATAATGGCACAAAGACTAACATGAAAATGTGATCTATGTGATAGTAGCAGTGTTGGAGAACTTGCTAGACAGTGCCCAGGCAATGTGGGATCTAGGTGCCTAGGCAGGTGCCCAGAGACGCGGGTGCCCAGTTGTCGATTGTTTTTTTTCTTTTTAGGATTTGGTTAAGTACCAAACCTCCTTGGATATGAGTTAAAATACTCAATTTCAAAAGCAATGAAACCAAACAGTAAAAATTCCTATTCCAAAGTAAATAAAATAATAAAGAATGAGAAAGTTCGAGATAGAATTTGGTTTTTGTTTAAGTTTATTGAACTTTGGATTTCAAATCCTAATTCGTAGTTGAAGTAAAAAGGTTAAAAACTTAAAAACACACCCAAACTATACAAAACAATATACCAAAGTTGAAAAAATTCACAAGTAACACAAATATAAGGAACGGAAAGTTAAAAAAAGAATTAGGCTTGATTTGGTTTAGGTTTAATGAATTTTAGGTTCAAATCCTAATCCAAATTTGTAAACAAATTATCAAAACCATATTAATCCTCATTCGAAAGATGAAATAATTATAAATATCACAAATAGAAAACAAAAAGAACTTAATATGTATAAATATCTTATGAGAAATATATAATTCCATAAAACCCTAATCCTAAACTTGAAATCCTCTAACCTCTAAAACGGAATCCTTCAACAAAAGGTTGGGCTTTGTTGCCAAAAACGTCTTTTTACAACTCTTCAAGCCCCAAAAAGATTGGGCGCAAATGCTTTTCAATTTCGCAAGAAATCGAAATTTTTTTATTTTCATTCGATCTTGGATTTCTCACAAGAACTCCAGATTTGAGCGTGTTTTTCGCTTGAAATTGGTTCTCCAAGGGGATTGGGGGTTAAAATGAACCCCCATGGTTTTAATGCAAAGAATTGGGGGCAAAAAGACTGAAAATGCCCCTAACCGAGGGGCATTTTTTCCCTCTTTCTGTAATTTTTTGCGGGCCACCTATGCGGGGCCTAGGTGCCCGCCTTTATGCATGTTCCCTCCCCTGCCTGCTTAAGCCTGGGCAATGCATCCAAGGCCTCTGGCCGCCTAGGCAGTCGGGTGGGCGAATTTTCCAAACTTAGATGGTAGGAGTTTTAATTTTGTATTTCTCTCTGATATATATGTTGTCTGAGTTGCTCAGGGCCTAATAAAGATAGATGAAACATTTTTTGGTCTCTATTCTCTAATGCTTAATATTTAAAATAAATTAATCCGTCACTCATTATAAATTACAGGCAACACGAAAGAATATGTATTATACCAAGTTAGCGCCCAAGCACGTAAAAAGTAAATAGCGTTTTGTAACTAAGTACAACTGTACACTTCATCATATAGCAAAAACCCTCACCCTTTGCAACCCTCCTTCATGTTGTAAATTAGATTGTATGGGAGTGCAATGATGAAAATGCCCCTTTGTGGGCATTTTTTCTGCCTATGAGCAGGCTCCCACATATGTGGGTGCATCATGTTGAGTATATGCTGATGATGCACTGCATATTGGGCACTTCATAATGGCCTGCATGTGCATATGCGGTGCACACAAGTCCGATTTAATGTGGCTGCATTTGATAAGTATTGTTCCTTAACATATATTCAGGCTATTGTCCTACCCGCAACATCCCCAACTTTGATCAAGATTTCTTTAGTGTCCTTGTGTACACCAAATCATGTAACATTTGAGACCCAGGCATATTTTGGTTTTTTGGTATATGCAACATCGAATGTATTCCAGGTTTTTTCACCAGCTTGATGCACTACGAAGTTGAATGAATATTATACATTTGCAATGTTGGAAATGCTCCACTACACATCTTCCAGCACATCCCTGGAAATCATTGTCAGTAAATTTTGGAGGTTAAAAATAATGATCATGACTTAGGTTAACTTTCTCAAAAAAAAAAGAACAATAATGATCATGGCTTAATTATAAAATACTTACTAGGATGTCTTGTAGTCACCATCCCAATGTCATGCCATCAAAGGCTTCTGGATCCTGCTGTTAGTAACTAACAACTTAGATGCAGCCCCCTTTTGACCTGTTACTTCCCTACCTCGATGACATAATGAAATGCACTTTTGATTTTTTATCCATGTTTATTATTCTGTTAGACATGAGAGATGAATTTAAGAATGCTGAGACTGCATGAATTTCATTAAACTATAAATCATTGCACGTTACCTTGATTATTATTTTTTTTAAGGAGTGTTATCCATACCTTTCAAAATGCTTCTGTATTATTCCTTTTGCTTGTTGCATGGCTGCATAGATATAACCCATTGATGACATATCCGAATCTGCCCATCTGGAGAGCTCTGATGAATGGCTCAACCACAGAAATAAAAATGTCCTGAAGAATTCCAAAATTTTGTTATCTTGCATAAAATATGTAACTGCAATACCATCTGATTTTTTAAGTGACAGTCAATTCTCTCTGTTCATTTGATGCAACCACAAACCTCAAAAAATTTCCCCTTAAAATAGATGCAAGGCAGTAGCAAACCCTGTCACATCTGGCCTGCATAATCCCTTTTCTTTGTAAACGTTCCCCCTAAATTCAAAGTCAACTAAGGTTTATATATATATAGATTTTGTTATTTTTCACGCCCCATCACTTATTACCTTTACCCATAATAAATGATTGATTTCTGCCAATATCAAATTCGCAGCTAACTCTTGGCAAGTAGAAATTTTGACCATGAACACTAACAACTTGAACCACATTTGAGGTCTAATTTCTCCAAGTAATGGCTTTGAAATGTCTGCCAGACGAGGACCATTTTTGTTTGCCCAACTACGTTGACAGACTTTGGGAAAATGGTTGCCTTTGGGCAAGCTGCAATCGCATTGTTAAATGGTTACAGTAGTGAATTCTTCTATATATCAGACATTATACTACAATCTGTCAATGACTGAGGGGCTTTCACCTACTTAGTTTATTGGTTTACCTAACTTTTCAAATCATTAACTAAGGTGATTCTAGCTGCTTCACTATTGGGGAGGTTTCGTTTGTGGTTTGAAAATCTATTGACCTCAATTAGTTGGAGGAAATATTATTTGCAATTAACATTCTTGCTACAATTAGATCTCCTGCTTTTATCCTTCTTATTGAACATTGTAAGGAGGCAATTTTGGACTTTGGATGCATTTGAAAATAAACCAACTTGGAACAAATTATTTGCATCCATAGAGGAAGAAGTCTTTAAAACTGACTACATATGGTGCACCAATTTTGGCATGTTAGCTATAGGTTTGGCCTCCATTTCTTGCATGGCTAATTTAGCAATCTTGTGAACCAATGGGCACGATTTAGCATCTTTACTGGCAATACATGCCAAATGATATTAGAATAATAAAAATACCCCTATTATTTCTGTGCAAAATTTGTGTATCACCTTTAAGCCCTTCAGATGAGCTTATTTCCACATTTGATCATTTTGTCTTGGAATATTTCCACGAAACAA